AAATGGCGTCATTAGGTAGCTGCGATGGGAAACGTATAGCGCGTGTGTGACATTTTGGCGCACCTCCAACTGCAGCTTTAAACAATCCACGCAGAGAGATGAAATCTGCTTTAATATATATCGAGACGCGCTTTGCTTTGCCTTTGCCTTATTTTATATTTATTTTTTTTTCAAAACTTGCGCAACTCTCCGGCAGACATGCAATTTTGCCATAAAGATGTATTGTTATTATATTCAAGGAATGCCTTTCTTTCTTTCACTCTTTTTTGGTTGGCAAGACGAGAAAACGGAGAAAGTAGTGCGGCGCGTCTGTTTTTCTCTCCGTTCTTTCCTCGTCAACGCTGTTTGTCCTAGCCCAGTTTAATTTGAATTTTTTGCCTATTGTTGGAACTCGTCGTCGTCTCTCTCCATTCGCTTGCCACGTTTCTTCCTCTGGCTGCCTCCAGAGAATTTCCGCTACAACTACTTTTCCCTACAAAGTAGCAATTCGCGTGATAATTAAAACATTTGACAACCAGAACTGTGTACAACGAATTTTAACTTTTTAATGTAAATTTATGATATGATTAATCAATTTTTCCCAAGTTAGATTGCGACTGGGGCAGTAAATTAAATTTTTTAGTTCCCCTTGCTTCATGTGAATTTTTTTGAAATGAGTGTCTCGTTCCTCGATTGTTTTAAAAAGGTTCTCAAGCATTTCACTTCTAATTACATGTAATCAAACCATTGCGTAGTTTAATTTTGCGTATTGCAACATACCTGTATTTCTTATAAATTTTTCAGAATCTCTTGTTGCCTGCAAGTCAGACTTTCTTAGATCTAGATTTTATTCTGTTTCGTTTAGATTATTCAAGCTGCGCTATCTCCAGTGGCACATGTTTACTAAAATGGAATATTAATATAATTTATAAGTATTATACAAACCAAAGATATATAAAATTTAATTCATTGCACCTAGGTATTTTTCAAATAATAATTTCCTAACACCAACGTTCAATAAAAACAGATCTAATGATTTTGGAATCAGATTAAATTTGGAATAAAAATTATATTCATTTAATAGGTTATTGTATGAATGAACTATGAATGTTATTCTCTCATTATTAGCCAATGGAGCAATTGTGCAGCCCTCAAGGCGTTTGTTCGATTATTAGCCGTTCAAGGCAGGTGCATCAAATATAAACGGGGGTGCACATTATACACCCGGGCTGCGAGGACAATATTGTCGAACAGGGAGAGATGCAGCGGGCAAATATTGGCTCAAGTGGTTATAGCTGCAGAGCAAACATCGCCGACAGCGAGATCTGTGGTGTGTGAGAAGAGAGCTGGAATTATGATTCGTTAGGTCTTTGCAATTCCGAGGATATAAAATAAATCCTCGCGAGTGCAGCGGAGCCTGAACTTTTGGAAAAGTTCCCCTTGCCTGATCACAAGCGGCAAAACCGCCACGTGAGTGTGTCTCGGCATTATTTTTGCCTCTCTTGCTCTTCACTTTGAAAGTCAAAATTCTTCCCTAAGGGGAAATAAAATTTATTTGAAACACGGCCTGCGAGAAAGGAAATGTTTTACGTCTTCTTTCATTCGCGCTGCGTGCCGTGATGGGCACGGACGGCGTTTTAATATTTTCACAAATTTTTTCCGAGCGGCACCCGCCACGCCTTTTTATTACCGCGCGAGAAGAGAGCAGAAGTGACATATAATTTAAAAATCTTATTAACTTTCTTTCTTTCTTTCTTCTGGCGCTCTTGCTGCACAAGCGAAAAATGGAAATCTCTCTCGGGGAGCAGTGCGAGTCTCTCTTTCCCTTCCTGCTGCTTATATTTGAAGTTTAATCAAATTTCGGAACAATGTCGTGAAACCCATCAAAAGGTGGAAAAGAAAAGAAACGCGCAAAGCCGCTCTCGGTAATATACATACATTTTCTCAAATCATCATCCGATGAAGAAACTCGCAAAAGATGGGGAGCTGAGAAAATTTGCATGGTAATAAAACGCCCAGAGACGTAAAACGTGCTGTAAATTGTTGGAGGGCACTTTCAGTTGAGCGTCATTGATAAAAATGCTTAGTGAGTGACAATCAAAGAAATTTTAACAATATTTTGCATTTTTTTTTTTTTAAATATTGATTTCTAAAAATGATGGTATTTTCATTTTTACATGTTAAAAAAATGTGCAGCAATAAAATATTATTATTATGCTTTAAAACAATTTATTATGTGATAAAACGTTATCAGCACTGTCTATATAAATTGAATTTTGTAATCTGTCTATTTGTATTAATTAAATTCTCTTTATGCAACACCTGTGCTCGAAGGGAAAATATATTAATATGAATTAATTCAAAATATCGCAAAAGTTGACTTGTAAATATTTTTAATCTGGGTATTATTTAATTTGTTAATGCAGCTTCTAATTAATCAAAATTAGATTTCATAATTTTTTATATTCCAGAGCAAAACTGAAGCAATTAATAAAACACCCTTTCCCTCTTTTCTGATTTATAAAGTAGGCCACTTTTTCTCTCTCCCTCATCGCCGGGGCATATTGCAGAAAGTGGCAGTCAGTTAATTCAAACTTGAAAGATGGCATGCTGTTAGCTCATTTAAAGCGAATCGCGACATTTTTCATGCGAAACGACTGCAATTTGTTTGTGCGCTCGTCGAGCAGAGAGGCCTATTTTGCACCCAGCCGCGCCCGTAAATCGCATAAATGGCCCAGTATATAGTCCGCGTATTTTAGTTTGGGCCAAAATTATACGCGAAATAAAAGCAGAGGCAGCCACGATTTAATTTATCTGCAGCGAAACAACTTTTGTTTCTGATGGGGTTTCCACCGCCGCCGCCGACCGACCACGCAGACGTTCAAAGTTTTCGGGAAATCTCAAACTATTAAGATGATTTACTCCCTTCTTGAGCACACGAGGGTTGAACGGCGGCCGCAAGACTTCGGGCCTCTCTCTATGCTTTGACAGCCAACGGAAATCTCGCTCTCGGCGTTTGCAGACTTACCGAGGGGTCAACTTTTGAATACCCGCCGCCCAAATCCGAGGGAAAGAGAGAGAAGAAGGAACGTCAGCTTGTTTTCCGGAATAAATAAATAAATAAAAATAAGGAGGAAGCAAATTTTTGCCAGCCAAGCAGGTAGGGGAACTTTTTAAGCCAAATTTGGCGCTGGCAAGTTGGAAAGGGATTCGGAAAATATATTATTTGTTGTTCATTTTGAATATTTTTACTGGTTTGTTTGGCAAGATTTTTTCATATGTTAATAAAAAGAATAGAGTTTTTGTAAGAACAAGATTATATACCACTTAATTATTTTAAATAATAAAATAATTTTTTCTGTCCAGTTACAAAATAAAGTGCTTATTAATATCGATTAATTTCTCTAAACGCTTTGATATAAAATGCAATTTGACTTAGTCTGCATTTTACAGTTGATTCATATTAAAAATAATAAGAATATAAGATAATTTTTATTAATAATATTTCTTTTGTATTTTTAAAACTTTGAAACTTGCTCCTCAGCATATTATATGGGCTCGCAGAGTTCACATATCTCTCTCCTCTTGACTTCTCAAGATTTGCCTCGTTGAGTTTCCACAAATGAAGGGGGTTGTTAAGGCTCATTCTCAGCCAGCATCGCTGGAGAAAGCAGGCAACTGGCTCGACGGAAATGAAGTGCGGGTGTGCCTGCTTGGGCCGCGAGCAGGCGTTCGTTTTCTTGTTGTTGCAGGAGAGAGCGAGCGAGAATGCAGGCCAACAAAAACAAGCGCGCGTTGTCGCCCTCGCTCGCTCGCTCTCTCGCTGCCTGTATTTTTGCACAGGCATAAGTCCGGCCATTCATAATAGTTTGTTACACCTGCTCGTGACGCGAGCGAGCGAGCGCCGAGCCGCTCCACATATACACACACCTTTGCTGTTTTTCTTTGGGCGAAATGAAAAATAATGTCGGCGCAAACTAAGTTGCGACATAAAAACGTACAGCATAGGCACACAAAGAGAGAAAACTCGGTGTCGTTTTTTTTCGGCTCCGCACAGGGGCTGGTTGATAAATAGGGGGCTATTTGTTTGCGGCCGGCTCGGTTTTAATTAGCTGCAGGTGCTAGAGCGCAAATCCCCACACCTTTGTTTCCTCTCCAAATGAAAGTGAAATTGTAGAAAAGATTGTTTTAAAATTACCGTGCCTGTGAATATTGATTGCATTTCCACAATCAATTAATTTTAAAGTGATTTACAAACCGGGTTGATTTTTCCTTATAAGTTGATAGATATTTTCATTTTAAATCATCGTAGCACTGTTTTAGAAATACAACTTACGTTTTTTACAATTATAAATCAAATTTGAAATCAAATTAATGATAATAAATTAATAAGATACAAAATATATATTTTTTATATGCCCAATTTGAATGTTATAAAATCAGTTCATGTACAGAAAAATAAAAATTTTACTTGAAATTGACAATACAATCTAAATTTAGTACACAGCATGGACGACATTACTATAAAATCATGAAGTAAAATAATATAATGAAATTTGCATAACTTTTACTGCATGGCTTCTAATTATTTAATTTTATTAGTATAATTATTGATATTTTAAATATTTATATATATATGCATGGAAGCTTAATCTTTTTTTATAGATAAACTGAAAATGTGGAAAGTTTTGTAATGTTTAGTGGAATCAAAGTTTTCTTAACAAATTAAAAAAACAAAGTGGCAAGTGCGCATTAAATCTAATGATTGAATAAAAATTTGCAAATTGCTTTTAAAGCATGATGCGTGATGGATACAAGATTTTTTAATTTTAAATTAGAAACATGTTAACCGTCATAAATAAATCCCAACACGCTTACGCTTATTTCAGCGTGAGAGATGGTGTTTGTTTCCACGTGCTCCCTCCTTTCGCGCTTCACACTTCTAGCCCCGCCCTTCTTCGCCAGGTAGAAGGTAGATAAGTTGGCGCAGAAGCAGAAAGGTTTCAGGTCAGGTAAACAGGTAGAAGCTTGTTGGGTAGAAGCAGCTGTTTCTTCAAAATTGTACACAAGCAAACTAAAACAATTCGCGATTCTGAAATGTGGCCCAAATTGTGTCGACTTTGCGAGCGTCCAGTGGCCGACGGAGGCTACCTGGGCTCAGAGTTGGACAAGGAGAAGCTGGCTGAGTGGTGTTTGAACTTCTTGGGCACAACTTTAGCTGACCAGGTTGACGACGAGGATAACTTTTGCTTCTACTGCGTTTCGGATGCTAGGTTATTTTTTTTTTTTAATTTTAATTAGTGAATTTGTGTTTTAAATTCCCTCTTCATTTGTTCGTATGTTTTTATTCATTTTTAGGTTCCTATTTGAAAATGAGGGAGGCGTCGAAACTGAATCGAGTTTTCCCAACCTTTGCTGGTGGCCTGATCAAGCGGCGGAGACTCATATTAGAAAATTACTATACACAAATTTTAAAGGTTAGTACTTACATTAATTAAATGAATATTTTTATAAAATATAACTTTAAAAAATTTTTGATTTAGCTAACCAAGTTCTTCAATGCTGGGTGCCTTTAGAGAAAGTAAAAGCATCCAAACAAGACCAACAGAGTCATCAAATACGTTCTCGTATGGGGATGAAGCAATCAAGTGTTGAATGTTGTATTTATTGCAACCAAAACTTATCTCGGGCGTCTTTGCTGGCGCACGTGCGGTTACTTCATGCAGATGTTATGCTAAGATGTAATTATAATGCAAATAGAAACTGTGTGATATTTTTTAAAACAATCGAATCTCGAGACAATCACGTCAAAGAAGTTCACCTGAAACCAAAAGAAATTAAACTCAGTGACTGCATTTACTGCTCCAAGCCAAATTTAACAAAAAGTGATTTGTACAATCACATCAAATATTACCATTCAAAAATTGCTATTCGCTGTACAAAATTTAAGTGTGCTCAATATTTTTTTAGTCAAGCAGAACTAACGAGACATTTTGAGGAAAATCATGTGCTAATCGGTGGAAAAGAATTCAGTTGCAAAATGTGTAATTTCAAAACAGACCAAAAAGCTCACTGGAAAAACCACATGGATAGGTGGCACAAAAAGACGCAGTATGTTCAATGCCCTCACCCTAATTGCAAATCTATGGTAAGGAAGCTTAATTTAAGAGCTCACATCACCTCATTTCACAAATTAAAAAAGTGTCCTTTCTGTTCTTTACAAATAGGGGTTCATAGCTTCAGTAAACATTTGATGAAAAAGCTTTGCAAAACATGCGGCGATGTGTTTGTATGTTTGGGATTGTTTAACAAACACCAATTAGTGTGCAAAGGTAAATTAAAAATATTAAAGTGTGACATGTGTCCAAAGGTTTTTGGAATAAGGGCGGCCATAACCCAACACATACTGCAACATTTAAGGAAACAATTCATAAATCACCAGAAACCGCAGAGACCTACCAAATATCAATGTAAAATATGCTCTAATTACTTTCCCAGTTCTCGTACTTTGCGTCTCCATTTTGAAAAAATGCATTCAACCACTAGAAAAAAAATTTGTTGTGCTCATTGTGATAAGAGGTTTTTAAACAAATGTAGTTTGCAGAACCACCTATCAATGGATCACAATCTAATTGATAAGTCCAATACATGTCAATATTGCGGCAAGAATTTCTACTTACTTTCAAATATGAAATCGCACATACAGACTAAGCATACTAGGGAATCTGTTGACAGTCATATTTGTGGCAAAGTGATTCTAAGAAAGCGTTTCCGTAATCATTTGGCTTACCGGCATTTATTATTTTAAGTAGGAAAAATTTGCTCTTGCAAAATGTAACATAAATTTGAGAATAGATTTTCACTTACTTGACAATGTCATTCTTTTTTTAAATATAATAAAAATATATATATGATATAATAAATATTTTAAACATTTTTGAACATTTTTCTTAACAGTCATCATTTTCATTATTTCATTAATGATCTTCGCCAATCTTTGTTTTGAGCGTGTAATGAGCCAGTGATGAAATAAATTATTTGCAATGAGGCAAAGGGTAATAGTTGGCATTAATCTGAAGGAAAATATTCTTCAAGCTTTCATTTCAAATAATTCCAAGCATTCCAAAGATAGTTTAATTTGAATGGTAATTTAGATTTGAATGAATCCATGTTTCCGTAAACATGCTCTTTGGTTATTTTCTTTGAAATGGTCGACAAGTATTTTTTTTTTCTTATGTCAAAGTGGTGATTGTTAAGTCATTCATCTTTCTAGCTATCCAATACAAGTGGGCTTCTTTTTCTATCCTGCTCCAATGGTTAGGTATCGCATCAAGATCTTCTTTGAGTTTAGGGCACCTAAAGAGGTGCTCCTTGTCTTGCTTTTCTGATCTACAAAGTTTGCTGTTCTACAAGTATACATTCTTATGGTTTAGAATGTGGTAAAATATACTTAGCATGTTAAAAAAGTATTAATATTAATTTGGGGGACATGACAAGATCAGAGATATAACAGCAAAAGCCCTGTTCAGTAAATCTTCCGATAAATAATATTGACATCAAATTCTTCCTAAAAATTTATTCAAACAAAATTATAATATTTGTTCAGACACCAAAAATAATTTTAATTGAAAATAAAACAAATAACAAATGAATGTTTAATAAAAATTTCAATAAATTTATATTAACAGTTAAAAAATGGCTGATTGAAAATTCTCCAGCTTCAAACAGTTGGAAGAAGCAAAAATAAATCCACGAAATCAGCCGCACCAACCACGAGTGATCGCAAAAAGGTCAAACTAACTTTACAGGCCGCAAGCAGAGAGTGGCAAAAAGCACCCAATTTGTTGGCGAACAGAACGACGGCAGTTTCACTTGAAAGGCGCATTGCTAATTAAAAATATCATCGGCGCCGCACTCACTTGGCGCCCCATAAAAAGAAAAGCTCGAGGGACCTGGCTTGAAAATGAGCAAGAAAAGGAGGCTTTTTTATTCTTCTTTTGGCCCGTTTTCATTAAAAATTTACGCCACCCTCGTGCACTTTGCTGCTCTCTCTTGAGTTAATCTCGTTTTAAACACAGGCTGTTTTATTTCGGACGGAATTAATTTAGCGCGACTGCATTTGGCCGCTGCTGCACTCCTAACGACGCAACAATGGAGCACTTTGCGGCCGCGTTTTGATGCCACTCGATAATAACGGCGGCCTCGTTTCGGCTGCGGCAAAAACACACGCCCGAGCGCATTCCAGATTATCTTTCTCGCTATTCTCTGCAGGCCCGTTTTTGATCCGGGCGAGCACCAGGAGGGCTCGAGACGTGAAAAGGGAGAGGCTCCACTTTTGCAAAATTGCCTGTTTTTGAAAGAGCAGCTTGGCGAAAGGCGAGACGACGTGTTGCGTTTCTGCGCGTCCTCTGCGCTCCGGAATCGGATTTCGTCAACATTTTAAGGCGCCTACATTTGCGAGCGGAGGCACACATGAGAGAGACTTACACTTTTAAGCATCAGCATTTTCTTTGATGCAAAACATTTCCAAGTGAAAAGGATCATAATACTATCTTCCCTGAAGATTTTGCAGGAAGATTGGAAGAAGATTTAAAATAAAACAACTAAATTGAAGCTGAAAATATTTGGGAAAAAAATTATATATTTTTGGGTTTTAATATTTTGATTTTTAAGACAATTTTTTTATTTTATAGTAAATACGATTTTATCACCTTAATAATTAATATTATTAGCAAATATTATATTTTTTTTGGCAAACAAATACATAAATAAATACTTATAAACAAATCTTTGAAACTATAAATAATATCACCTTTACTTTTAGTTCTCTGTGAGCGACATTTTGTCAGCTATGTGAGGAATACATTTATATATATCTTAAATTTTATATGTAAAAAAATAGCTTTTTTAGAAATATTTTTTGATTGCATGAAATATGCTTGATAAATGAAAATAAAATATATTTTTTATATATTTCTTTAATATTTTTCAAGTGAATTACATACAGATAAATAACTTAAAATAATTAATAATTAAAAATAAATTTTAATATTAAAAATATTCTGACGTGAGAACAGACCACGCACCCTTCAAGCTATTACTTTTGAAATAAAATGATATGCAATATTTTTATTGGTGCTGAATAACGTTAGCTTGTACCTTTTCACCAAGTCGCTTCAATTTTGGTAAAAATATAATATATAATAATTATTTATCAAAATAACTAGGAATTTCAACAGATATACATATTTTTAAAGGAGACGAGATTGTGGAAAAATTTCAAAATAATGAATAAAACAATTACTAGAAATATCCCTACTTCTTTTATTAAATAATAAAAATTTCATTTTTTTTCCATTTCGGTAAAAATGGAGGCCTAATTGTCCATTTGGCTGGTTACCGTTCTTGGTAATAATCATTTTCAATAAACAAAACTCATAGTCGCAATTGTCAAAACAATAAAAAATCAGCTTCTGGAAATCGTTTCGGTTTCCATTTGCCTCCCATTAAGACTTTATTGTCCGAGTCACTGCTGCCGGTCGGTTTCATGCACGCAGAGAGAGCAATTTGCAAAAACAACAACAGACAGCTAATTTCGGCATCCGACCGCATACTCGGCAAACTAGAGCAAACAGCGCCAAATTGTCGACTGCTCTCCGCAATAATATTTGAAGTGGCCGTTGAAACGCACGATAAATTACGCAAACAAACATAGAGAGAGAGAGAGCAAACCAAGGGGACACACAAATAGTATAATAATATGTATTTTCGCAAACAGCAGCACCACCCGACGAGCCTGTGTATTATCCGATCCGTCATAGACTCTTATACCAAAATTTATATTTGCAATGTTTGATGGCTGTTTTGCGGTTTCGATTCATTGCGGTGTGCGTGATGTTTTGTCTCTGCTAACGCGCGCCAACCGCAAGATTCGCAAACAATCGATTAGACGCGGCGGCGCTTCTTCTGCTACTAATAATTGCCTCTTCGCGTGGCCTCGGTCGTCGGTTCGCGAATATTCATCAGTTGCTAACGAGCCGCCCCTTTTTGCTTCTCGTGTCGTTTTCGCCTCGGGTCTCCAGACTGACGCAGAACGGATATTGTCCTGTAATTAACATGTAAATCCACACGTCTTGATTGTTGCGAGCAAGACAAAAAGCGTCTCCGTGAGTGGTCGGATTATGGTCGATTACAAGCACGAATTTGCATATGGAAGGGTAAAAAAATATTTGAAATTTATTTTGATAAGGAATTGTAGCCAGTTAAGTGCTTTTTTACTATTAATATTTTGTCTAATTTTGTATTGCAGACTTGGCTAAAACGAAGCACTTAATAATTGTTTTAAAAATTTAATTAAATTGTACAAACCCATGGTGAGTTACTAGAGAAGAAAAATTTAAAAAAATTGATTTAAATCATTTATAAAAATGCATCGCATTGACAACTCAGGTGATTGTGATAGTAACAATTTTATTAATAATTTTACTATACTTCAACCAGGTGTTGTACAATTTATATAATAATATATTTTATTTGCTAGATTGTTGAATGAACTATTTGTTCAATTTTATTATTTAGCGGTGTGTTTTACACTCTTTAATTAAACTATTTTTAAATAATTTAATGTGCTATTAATATTAACTAATTATACAACAAAATAATAAAATAAATTTATGTTTTAATAATGCTTGTAGAAAACTTTTTTTTATCTATGTATATATTTGAATTTTAAAGTTTATCTAAAATAAACAGTAATCATGCTGATCATAATCAATGTGTGCCGTGCCGGATTTGTTTGTCTGAATATCATTATCAACTTCATCGCCGCACTTTAGCCCACACAGATTTAACGGTAGACTTTTCGTTTTTATCGTCAGCCCGTACATACGCGAAATCATAAAGGAGAGTTTAAATGGGCGCTGTTTTTTCGTCAGTGCGGTCTGGGCAAAAATTGGCGGCGTGAGAGCGAGTGGGAGTTGCATAAATAATGAAACTAGGCCTGGCAGGTAGCAGGGCAGGTTTTATCAAAAGGTGTCTGCGCCCGGCCGCCATCGGCTGCACAACCGCTCGGGGCGTAAATAAAAATAGCGGGGCAATATTTGCATTATTTATGAGCGAAGAGAGTGTAAAAGTAGCATTAAATCATGCGCCGAAGCACAGAGAGTAGAAATATAAAAAAAGCACCACACGCATGCGAGCGTATGTGTGTAATTTTTTAATCAAAAGCAGTAAACTTTTTATAACTTTGGTGAGTGCTGGAAATTTCACGGATTAAAGAGAAATTTTCAGCAACCGAGAGTGTCATTCAACGAGATTCAACTCAATTTGCATCACGATCATGTGTGGGATGTGGCATTTAAAAAGTTTTACGTTCCTTTTTGACTCGATAAAAAAGGGTTAATTTAAAATTCAGAGTGTTGTTGCGTGCGTTATTTCTAGGTGGTGGCGTTGGGAGCTTTTAAGGGGCGACAAGCCAAAGCCCTCGTGACTGATTGCACTCGGAATTGTCTGCAACAAAGAATTTTTCGTCGGATTCGTTTATTATTTCCGATGCCCGGCGGCGTTAATGAATTTCTCGGGCGAGACACTCTGCGAGATTCTTCTTGGCTGCGAATGCTGATTTAATGAGGTTGCTGCTGCCACGGGTTGGACGAGCGCCAGTTGATTAATGACCTTATACGAGCGAGAAGAAAGTAGGGGTGCGCCTTTCAAAGGAAACAGCATTGTGTGTAGGAAGAATATCTAAATTTTAATTGATTCAGAAGAGGGGAACATTTTTATGCGATCGCTTTTGTGTTGTCTTCGGTCTGTAACAATATATTGATGATGATGCTTTCGGAAATGTAACTCACTTCGAAAAACATTGATATTCATTTTACGGTCATCATGCACAAATAATTTTTTTTTAAATCTTCATGTACAACGGTTTTCTTTATTTCTTTCATTATCATTTTGTTTCAATAATAATAATAATAATATTGTGTAAATTACTTGTTTCGTCGTCAAGAAATATATAAATTCTCGGGGTTCAAAAACTGCCTGTTTTATTTATTAGTTTTTCACTTTCCTTCTCTTTTAGTTTATGTACATGTTTTGTTAGTTACTCAGTTCATTTTTCGCGATTGATTATAACAAAGATTACTCTCGCAGGATATAATATGTCATCGTGAGTACTCATCTCGGCGTGAGTATTTGGAAATTAAACACACGATTTTTTTTTAATCTTATTAAACGGATGAACTGCGCACTCTTATCACTATTTTGTCCCGCAGTTTTGTGCAATTTCGTCCTTCCTTTCAAATAATGTTCTTCATCTTTCGTGATCACTCCAGGGCATTTAGATAATCGGCACTAACACGAAGGATAAAACTGACAAGGGGCGTCACTTCTCGTCGTAATTGAAACAAAATTCTCCATTTAAAACATAAATTGAAAATTCGGAGCAAGCAGGAGAAACGATTACAATACATTAGGCGTACAATGGAGTGCGAAATTCACAATAAGGGCAGGAATTCTCGGATGCTATTAATCACTCGGGCAGCGGAAAAACTGGCCGAGTCGAAAATTGCTTGTTTTCTGCTGCAGCCGGAGTAGGTCACTGGGAAAAAATAAGACTGGTTCTGACTTTTCGAAATACGCACTCGAGACTTCCTACCCTCTCTGCCGGAGAAAATTTAACGGCTTGGAAAAAATGCGCGCGTGGTTGCGAAAAAGAACCAATTTGCATAATATTACATGACGATGAACAGTTTGCACGAGAAGTGGACGCCAATTTCTGCTAAAAAAAATTATAATAAAAAAAACAACAAGCGTTGTTGTGCCAAAAGTTTTGGGGTGAGTGGAGAGGAAGAGGGCGAAAAATGTTCTTGTCGCACAACAAAAGCACCAGGCAAAATTCCAAATAAAAATTTAAATTCTCCGATCTTGACAAAATAAAATGTAAAACTCTCGTCACAGCACAGTTAGAGTGACACGAATTCGGGCGGCAGGGGTGTGCACATTGGGGGTGGCGGAGGGGTGGGTATCTCCTGCAGTTTTTGTCCTTTAGGGGAACCACTCATAGCTCCGTCCTTGTCCTCCTCCTCTGCTGACACTTCTGGAAGGGACAAAACGGAGCCGCTGCCACCACTGGCCGTCACCCGAGGCCCAACCGTGTCGTAGTGAGGCCGCACCCGAACCAACGGTGCCACTTTTCCACCCGAGTTGGTTCTCGGCCGTCGTGGCAATGTCGCACAGGCGGCCGCCAACATGGCGTCGCCGATGGCCACCTCGGGCACGCACTGCTCGAAGACCTGCGAACAGCACTGGTGCGCCTGATAAAACTGGGCCTGCTGCTGATGGTTGTGGTGGTGGTGGTGGTGCCGCAGCGTATGGTGGTGATGAAGATGCACGTGCTGATAGGGTCGTTCACTACCTAAGGTGACACTGATGGCGCCCTTTGAACGATGCGGCAGGTCAAGCAAGTCAGGGTACCGAGTCACGTCGTCCCCCGAAGGCGAGGCCACGCCCGCGGGGTCTTTGACTGAGATGAAGATGTTGCCAAAGGCGCTAGGAGGTAACGTTGACGAGAACTCTGGCGGAGGCGCCAGGGCGCCCCTCGGCAGGATGGATCCCTGCTGTGAGGTCTGCGGCAGAGGCGGCGGAATCACGTAGGGGGCGCCGTTGCCAGGGTAAGGTCCTCCCGTGTGCGAAGAGGCAGCCGCGTTGCCGAGGACGCAGTCAGCAGGGAGTTTCTCAATGGTGATGTGTGCAGGTTCGGAGGTGGAAAGGTCCACGGTCGAGGGGTCTCTAGTCAACAATTCCATATCAGTCTGCGACATGCCCTCGAAACTAACCGTGCCGGACGCCCGCTCCGTGATGCTGCAGTCCAGCAGCTTCTTCTCCTGGTCCGTGTAGCTGACGCTGCCAGACAGTTTGGACTGGCGTTTGTTCTTTTTCCGCCTCTGCCGAGAGCAAAGGCAGAGACAGAGTCCAGCCATGAGAGCTGTGGCCACTGTTCCTGCACCACCGGCCACTAAACCGGCCATAAGTAGCCAAGACTCTGCTTTGCTCAAGGTCGTGGCCGTTACAACCTCGGGTAGAATCAAGGTGAGATTCTTGATGGCTCTCCCGCGCAAGTTCTCAGCAACGCAAGAGTACTCGCCCACGTAGGCATCCGTCAGGTTAGACAAGGTTACGTTCAACCAGCCTGAGTTGTCGGTGTCTATTTGCACATTGGGATCTGTTCCGTTGAAGTTCAAGATATGGCCGTTGAAGTGCCAGTCCCGACTTGGCTCAGGGTCTCCCCTAACGAGGCAACCAAAACTTGCATTGCCCCCAACTTCTCCCTGTACCATGGTGTCTGTCAGCTCCACTTTTGGCGCGCAGGCAAAACTTTGAGACTCAATATCCCCCCACGAGCGATCCTTTAGAGCCACAGGTTCAGCACACGTGAGGGGAAGGGAGAAGAGTTTGGAGCGGAGATACCACTCTTTGAAGTCGCGCAGGTTGCAGTCGCACATCCAGGGGTTTCCGTCTAGAGATAAAGACTTGATCTGCGTAAGTGGCTCAAAAACGTTTGATGACAAATATTTAAGCTTGTTGTTGCTCAGGTTCAGGGTCTCCAGGGCTGCCAGGTTGACAAAGGCACGTTTTTGCACGTGCTTCAGCCTGCACGACTTCATTTCCAAAGTCTTCAGGTGTGGCAAGGTTGGAAACTGCTCCTCACGCAGCACATTGAAGGGGTTGCCACTGAGGTCGATGACTCTCAACCTGTTGTTGCCCTGGAAGGTCTTGATGTCAAGTTGCGTGAGACTGTTGCTGGATAGGTCAATCTCTATGAGAATTGTGAGGTCTCGGAAGGCCGTTGAATCGATTTCTTTAATTCCGCAGCCGCGTAAATAAATTCTCTGCAAATTTAAAAGTCCGACAGAGCGAAAGACGTCTTTTGATAACACCGGGATAGGGTTGCCGTTGATGTCAAGCACCTGGATGTCTTCATTGAGTGAGCTGGGCACGGTGGTGAGACCAGCGTCGCGGCAATTGGCTGTCTTTTTGCCCGATATCCACTTGCACTTGCAAGACACCGGGCAATGGTCTGTCCAATCGGCGTCAGCAATAGCGTCGGCCGAAACCAACGCCGCCGTCGTTGCCAACAGCAGAATGGCTAAAGCCACCGTTCGTTGCATGTCAACAACCGGGGGATGAAGAGGTGGGCGCCCTCTGTACGGAAAACGGGCGCCCTGCTCGTGGCCTCATCCCCGCACCTGCGGGGCAGGAATCGTCGGCCGCCACGCCAAGAATTTGCAACTCCGCTCCACTGTCATCAGCACCTGCAACAAATGAAATCCAGATTTAAAATTGGCAAAAAATATTTTAACATAAAACAAACAATGAAAAAAAAACTAAATAAATACAAAACCTTGTCCCGCTTTTCAAAAAATATATACCATATAAAATAACTCAATACATAATATTTATTCCGTTCTCAGATTATGCTTATTGTATACCTCAAACGCTTACTACACTGATTTATTTTTATTAACATTATAATAATATATAAATAATATTTTAATTTGAATTTTCCCAGTTCATAAATATTACTCGTTTTTTTCATTTATTGATTTATTTGTCAAAATTCATTATTTAAATTTACTTTTGCGCTTAATTGCCAATTTAAAATTATTAATTCTAAACCATGTTTACTATAAACGTTTTTTAAAATTTACAGAAAATGCAGCAACCTCTACAAACTATCTTATTTTAATAAAGTATTACATATTTTTCAAATTTTAAACTACATTAGAAAAAATTCTGAACCAAATCAATTTTGACTGTGAATTACAAGTTTCCCTTCCTCAAGTAGATGAACTTTTTTCCTCAGAATACAAATTTTATTCTTTGGCGAGATTTGCTCCGCATAAATTATTTCTCAGAATAATTCCCACTTGTCGCAAGAGAAGCAAAACGCCTTCTCACGGCATGAATAATTAGCGCCCGCGGAGAAGTTCTTATCTCCTAATTGGAGGTGTATAGCTTTCGCTTTCGCCGCGATATGCTAATTTCGTTACTCTTGCGCTGCCGCCAGATGCATTTCAATTATTCCCAAACACGCTTTTATCCGCAGCAGGAAAATAATTCAACCTATCCTTGGCAATCGAATATAAATAGGCAGAGCCTGGCGTGGAGGAAACGGAGGAAAGGGGCGCGGATATATTTTGGCCTGTGCTCGTTACAGAGCGATGTTCGCAGCCCTCAGGGAATCGTCGCCGACTCTGGTCTAGCCCGATAGCAAGCGAGCCTCTCGTTATCGGCGCCGCCTTTGTCGGGTACATATATATGTATGTGAAGAGAGGCTGCGCATTTTTGGCAAGGTGACAGCGCGGGACACCTTTTATGGATTAGAAAGCGGACGGGGAAACGAGAAAAAACTCCATCTCGGCGAAGTGAGTCTGAGAATAATAAATTCGTATATTGAATCGTCTCTCCTTTTTCCTACTCGTGTCCACTTTTTATGACACTTCCCCACAGCAGAATTAAACGAATAAATTTACGATGTTTTTCTACCGACCGCGATTGAAATCAGCGGGGAGAAAAAGGTTTCACTGGAAGCCATTAAAGAATTCCATTTGAGTGCTCTTAATTTCCATGCCACTGCATTTTTCGACTCCCTCTCTGCATAAATTCGATTTAAACCTCCGATTCTGGGCCTTGAAATGAAACCGACTCGTTTTACACTGTAATTAGACAATTATGTTCGCCCGTTGCCACGCGGCGCAATTAGCGCGTTTCTACTACACGCTGCTGTTTTGTAAATAAATTATACCAGGATCGAAAAGTGGGAGTATTTTTTTTTATTCCAATGCAGCTCCGACGTGACACGACAACAACAACAACAGGCAGCGACGCGCAACAGCACGAGAATCGATTGACTTCTGTTGTTGTCACACACAAATAAAAATTCCATGCATTTAAAATGAAAAAGAGCTGCCAGAGCGAACAGGCAGGCGTGCTGGCGGTTCACTGCTGCGACATCGTTCCGCAAAGTGATCTTAATATCCGCGACAAGATGCTCGCGGAATGCAAATTCAAATGGAAAGGAAAATAATAAACGTACGAATAAATATACCGTGGGTGGCGAAAGAAAAGGAGGAAAGATTGGATAAAGCAACACTGCCATGATTGTCTCTCATAATGGTTTGTTATGACAAGCAAGAGTTGATTTGCATTTTCTTGTGTATATTTCTTGTAATTTGCTGTAATAACACTGTCGTGAAATTTCCTGTTTATGAACGGAAGAAGTGCAACTGTGGAGGCGGACGAAAACTTGAAAGCAGAATTATAATTGAAAATAGTTCATTGTTCATTCTAATAACAACAAAAGTAATAAGAATGAAAGAAAGTTGAAATTAAAAATTTATTATTATTACATGGAAAACATGATTTCTTTTTTAATTATTTGAATCAAGACTAATGAGAAACTTCGGTAAAGTTATTTTACCAATTAATTGCTACTTGAAATGAAGTAAAAATTATGCAATTTACTCGTTAAAACTAAGAAACTATATATTATTTTCTGTTGTGGGTGATATTTTGTCAGCAGAAACAGGTGATTTTAAGCGAAGAAAATCAAATATGTGAAAAATTGCTGATTAATTTTTTTACACCTAAATGATGTGTTTTAAGGTGTTTTTGTGAAAAGTATTTTTAAATATTCCATTTTTGAAACAACAGATATGTATGTAAATAATGAAAAGATTTGGAAGATCTCGGATTAAATTAATTAAGTGAAATTTGATTGCAATGTACTTAAAAGGTCAAAGCATAATATAGATGATTTCCAACGTGAAATTTAATACACATTACTATGAATTGTCAATGTTTATATAAAAATAATATTTCTGCCTTTAAATATATTTCCAACAAATGAGTGAAAAGGAGATCACCTCTACTTTTCCCATCCCTAATGTGTGTTAAAATATTTAAATCTAATTAAATATTTTATTATCCATATAATTCAATAATAATCATATGTAATGTACAATATTTTAAATCAAAAATATTTGAAACAAATAAAGGCTTTTATTATTGTTTGTTTCATCTTGTTGATTGTTTTAAGAAATATTTTTCTCTCAATTCAAGCTCTGAAACGTAATTTATATCCTGGTAGTTTCTGGAACGACTAAAAGCAGAACGCACACGATCACATTATTCGTTTAGGATTTTCACCATCATCTGACGTCAATGGTGAATTTCGTTCCCACTTTTAGACCGCACTTCATGTACTGCACGATACGCGATCCCTTTTCGCAGCAGCGAATGAAAGCACCACTCTCTCGGCTCTCGTGTTAAAAATGCAAAGTCACTTGTTTCGCCGAGTGGCGCAGGATCATCTCCGCGTCCGCCAGCCCGCCCACTGTAAAGAGCGGCAATTTTGCGAATGGGATAATCGTGCTCTCGGCTTGTTTGCATAAGACGAGGCGCAAAACACACATACATACACACGGGCCTCCTCTCGCAGCTCATTGAATAATAATTCTGCGCGATTTTCCTCAGCACCTTGGGCGCTGCGATTTGCATTTTACGCGCTGATAACGCGCCCTGCTATTATATTTGCCTTGCTCTCGACGAGCGGCGCGTTTCGTCTCCTCGCCAAACGCACACAAAAACCGCCTGCTCCGTGCCGGGTCATTTGCATGCCCTGCTTTGTATCGTGCGCGTATTATATAATCTGGCGCAAAGTGCGAAACTTTCCTCTGCGATATTATTTGCGGTCGGGCTGTGAACTAATTGCGAACTATTTGCAAAGTGGCCTGCGATTGAATTAGCGGTCCGAGTGCCGGGCGCATTTAAACCCGGCCATTAGACGACAGGAATTTGGTGCTGCTAATTTGAATTATGCATTAAATTGCGCCCGGGGATGTGTGAATGTTATGTGCGGCAACGACGAAAACGAGAGTGGCGCACATTTCGCTCTAATTTGTCAGCACATTAGCTCCATTTTCAGCTCATTGTTGGCAGAAGCTTCTAATATCCTTCACGAATCAAGCAATAATTGAAAAAAAATACACTAAATGTAAAGGAGGTGAGAAAACAAGGCATTAAATCTATGAAATGAGGGAATTTAGGCATATTTCGATTAATAAAATAAATGCGAGCACTGCTTTGTGTAAGTTTGACAAATTTGCTAATTAATGTGATAAATTTAAATACAAAATTAAATCTGCATGTTTGTGTTAATAAAATTTGCATTTAATTTCCATAGCTTAAAACTGGAACTAAAATTAAACTAATTTTATATGGCTTCAAATTGTGTTTCATTAGCGCTCCTAACAGCATTCTCATAATTTCCATACATCATCAGATTTAAAATTAAGCACAGAAGTTTCACATTATATTTTGAAATTTCAAATATTAACTTAACAATTATTTCATTTAAATAATGTTTCACGTCTAAAATATTTGTGTATTTTTAGACTTTTAGACTTAAGAGCATTATTTATTTTATTATCTAGTCAATTTTCAAATAAAAATATTTGGACTAACAAAATGTCATACGTAAGTCCACATCCAGTTTCGAATTCCAGATAAAATTAATTGCATAATTTTATAACAAGATTAAATAAGAAATTATCTTTTAATTTCCATGCAAATAATTTGGAACACTTTAAGCACTTGAATAATCTAATTAAACGGTTTAAGCTTTTATCCTCATGCATGCGAGCACTTATTGCCAGTGCTCGGAAATAAGTCAAGTTGAGCCCCAAATTTCGTGTTGTGTCGGCAATCGTGCCAAAGCTTTTCGGAAGCCGTTAACAAAAGCTTGTTTCGCGTTATCGGGTCGACTGGTGGCCGCTTGATAGCGCCAATAATTGTTAACCACCGCTCTACTGCTGCTGCTGCTCTATCGGTTTTCATTCACGTCGTTAAAATTACGACCTGTTCTCGGATCACGCGAAGCCGATTTATGCAACCGGCACGATTCGTCCGGCCAGCGGGCTGCATACTCTGCGCCTGCGAGAATCTCATCTGCGAAAAGCATGAAAAAATATCCAACGGACGGAGATAAACAAGCAATAATTTATTGGTAATTTGATTAAACTAGAAAGTCGTACGTTTGCTCGACTGACTAATGCTCGGAGCGTAATTGCCAGAGCTGTTAGAAAAATTGCAGCAGCCAGAGCTAATTAACGGATTAAACTGCTAAAGCATCTCGTCTCTGCTGCTTTTATCCCTTTATATAAATTACTTTTATCAAATCGAGAGCACTAGACTGGCAATGACAGGTCGAGGAAAAAATTCTTCACGAGTAATTATCAAAAGTTTGTTGGAA